ACCCCCAAGTTTTACCCTCATAATAACACTTTAATGCATTAAGAACAAGCATAAATTTTTTTTTTTGAAATCCAACACATATGAATTTCTTGAAAAGTCCCAACACATATAATTATTATCCCTCATAATAACACTTTAATGCATTAAGAACAAGTTTAAAAAAAATTTCTTGAAAAGTCCAACACATGTGATTATTATCAAAATATTAAACTTTAATATAATATAATAAAAATAAAAAAAGACATTTAATTTCTTGAAAAGTCTAACACATATGATTATTATCAAAATATTAGACTTTAATATAATATAAAAAAGGACAAAAGGGGGTTTTTAACCCCCAAGGCTTGTGAGAGTTTTAATATCCCAATCTATGAGTACATGACGACGGATCTGAGGTAATGATGGAGATGACGGCAGCGGCAGGGAGGGACGCTAGTGGTGGTTGGATGAGGAACAGTTAGAATTAAGACAAATTTAGAAGTGTAGCATTAAAACTAAAAATTAAAATTTCTAAATTTCAAATTTAGCTTGTTACAAGCTTTACAAAGTCAAAATCTAAGATTTTTTCTTTTCTTTTCTCTTTTTTTTTTCTTTTTTTTTTTTGTAATCAGAGTAGTGACAGACACCCGATTAAAACCCAAGATTTTGAAAATTGAAACCACCTCCAACAAATGAGTTGGGATCCCCTCCTTACAACGGCTGAGATCAGCTGTTACAACATCCAACGGCTTATTTTAATTTCTTTATTTTTTTTATGGCCGTTGGATGTTGCAACGGCTTATCTCAACCGTTACAATGAAGATTGTAAGGAAGAATAGTAATGAGGGGATCCGGACTCCCAACAAATAGCCAGGTACTATGGAAATTTTAAAACAAAAAAAAAAGATCAATCAACAAAGCCACAAAATCCCCTTGCTATCACCTTCTTAATGACTATTGTCCTCATCTTCCCAAATACAACTCAGATCTTCCCAAATACAAAATTGCAGACCCCACATTCATGTGAGACATTTAGTCATTTGTTTAATAGAAAATTTAGTGTCCTTAATATTACCCTATATATACTTGAAAAATGCTAGAGGTCCTAAATTTTCTACCAAATAAATGACCAAATGTCTCACATGGATGTGGGCCTACAAAATTGCAGACCCCACACCCATGTGAGATATTTGATCATTTGTTTGGTAGAAAATTTGGTGTCCCTAGCATTACCCTATATATATATATATATATATACATACATACATACATTTATACCCCTTTTCAGTTTTAGCAAAAAATCAACATCTTCTCAGAGATTTTCTGCACAACAATAGCAGAGATTTCTGGGCGAATCAACTAAAAGCAATGAAATTTTTTCTGAAGATCGCAGTGAGATACGCAGACCCAAATCGGAAGATCTTTCTATAGTAGTCCTTTTTGTCTGGTACAATTTTTTTTTTTTTTACCATTTTTTTATTGGCAAGTGCTTTAATGGCTGTGTACAGAGTGAAATCATATAGGTTTCTCAGAGACCCATCTCAGTATTCGTCTACTTTCAGAGCTTTAAGACCTAGAAGTTGACGGACAGAGACAGAGAAGAAGAAGATATACTAGGGACGAAGGAAGGGTTTTGCAGATGCAAATAATGGCCATGTAATCATTGTTACAATATTTAAGTGAGAGCAAAAGAATATTATATGATTTGTATATTTAATATTTTGTTAAATAATTATATAATGATATATATAAGACATCTTTATATAGAAAGGTAGAAATTTAAGTATGATAATGAATATAATATGATGTGTCGAGGGGCAACTTATTAAAAAGTGCGCCAAGGACTACTTGGATAGTATGCTAGGGGACGACTTTAGTGATGTGCTAAGGAACAGCTTAGGTAGTGTACTAATGAGCCTCCGTTTGGGAAGAGGGTTGGCTTTTTGACTTTTTGGCTTTTTTGGCTATTTTAGCCTGGGCTTAAAAGCTTGGTTTGGGAAGGGTTTTTTGACTTTTTGGTTTTTTTGTAAGAGAAGAATGTAATGATTATGGGTTGGATGTGATGTTTTGTTTGTTATGGCTAAAATAGCCTATTTTATTTTTTGTGGCTAAAATAGCCAAAAAAACCTGCAAACCCACTTGCCAAACACAGGCTGAGTGACTAGGGTTGTGCGCTAAACGGGACGTATTAGGTGATAAGCCAAGTGGTGACTTGAGTTGTGCGCTATAGGGCGACTTAGATAGTTTACATGGTATATACTCATGTTCACCACGATATAAATATAATATCCCCTTAAACTCAAATCTATACTATATATTAAGTAAAAGGGAGTTTTTAACCCTAAGTCATGTGAGAGCTCCAATTTCCCAATCTAAATTTCTTCATTTTTTGATTTAAAAAAAAAAAACCTTAGTATTTATTAACTTCTCCAAACCCCCAAGTCTTACCCTCATAATAACACTTTAATGCATTAAGAACAAGCATAAAATTTTTTTTTTGAAATCCAACACATATGAATTTCTTGAAAAGTCCCAACACATATGATTATTATCCCTCATCATAACACTTTAATGCATTAAGAACAAGTTTAAAAAAAATTTCTTGAAAAGTCCAACACATATGATTATTATCAAAATATTAAACTTTAATATAATATAATAAAAATAAAAAAAGACATTTAATTTCTTGAAAAGTCTAACACATATAATTATTATCAAAATATTAGACTTTAATATAATATAAAAAAGGACAAAAGGGGGTTTTTAACCCCTAAAGCTTGTGAGAGTTTTAATATCCCAATCTATACTTAGGCCTTGTTTGGCAAGAGGCTATTTTAGCCAATTAGTCAAAAAGTTACTAAATTAGTCAAAAAGCTAACAATCCATACCAAAAAGTCAAAGATTCTCTTTTCTCTCTACTTTTTGCACATCTTTTCGTAATTAGCCAAAAAGTCATCCCAAACATACAAGTTTTTTTTACCTACCTTTTTAGCCAAATAGCCAAAAAGTTACTAAATTAGCCTGTTCCCAAACGAGGCCTTACTATATATTAAGCAAAAGGGGATTTTTAATCCCAAACCTTGCGGAAGCTCCAATCTCCTAATTTAAATTTCCTAATTTTTTGATTAAAAAAAATAAAAAAAAACCCATAATATTTATTAACTTCTTCCAACCCCCAAGTCTTACTCTCATAATAACACTTTAATGCATTAAGAACAAGTATAAAAAAAATTCTTTGAAATCCAACACATATGAATTTCTTGAAAAGTCCGGACACATATGATCATTATTCCCCATAATAACACTTTAATGCATTAAGAACAAGTATAAAAAAAATTTCTTAAAAAGTCCAACACATATGATTATTATCAAAATATTAAACTTTAATATAATATAAAAAAAGAAAAAAGGGGGTTTTTAACCCCCAAGACTTGTGAGAGTTTCAATATCCCAATCTGAATTTTTTAAATTTTTAATTGAAAAAATAAAACAAAACTCACAATTTATTGATTTGATCAAAATCCCTTGATCAACATTTATTAACTTTTTTCAATGCACATGTCTTTCCACATGTCTGCATTTATTGATTGGATCAAAATTCCATGATCAACATTTAAAATCCCCTAAAACAAATAATTATAGATACAATCCATATATATTTACTGCAGTATCCTTTTCAACTTCTCCCATACACTATGATTAATGATAAAATTATTAAATTGTTTTTATAAAAAATCTTAAAAAACATAATTTATAGATTAAAAAGAATCTAAAATAAATATAAATATCTATAATTATCTGGTGCAGAGCACGGGTGATAGGCTAGTAGGTTTGAAAATAAAAACTTACTTTGAGGTTGAAGTAAAAGGAAAGACAGAGTGGATCAGAAGCGCGCGCGCACACACAAAATATAAATATAAATATATATATATATATGATAGAAATATTTAGGGTATGAATAAACTAGTTGAAGAGAAATAAATCACCACAAAGCAATATTGAAAGAAAAATATGGCACAAGGATGAGTTGAGATTTGACGGGCGGCCAAACCAAGGTTGCCGCCCTTTAGTAAGGCGAAGAACACCAAGTGTTTATCCTATAATTCTGATATCATGTTACAATATTTAAGAGAGAGAGAATATTATATGATATGTGTATTCAATATTATGTTAAATAATAATGTAAAAATATATACAAAAATTTTTTATATAGGAAAAGAGAAACTTAAATACAATAATTATAAATATGATAATAAATATAATATTATATGTATGATTGATGAAATATATAAGTCTTATTTTGTTTGTTTTTGAGAAACAAATTTTGAATTTTTTTTTCCAAAATCACTTGTTCTGTCCTACATATCAATCAATTACTTTTTCTCTCTCATTTCTCCTTCTCAATCACTTTTTCTCTCACACACATATACTCAATTATAACAACATATCAAATCATCTCAAACTCACATACTCCAAAATTATTTTCAAAATATATAATTAAACAAATAAAAAAAATTTCTAAACTCTTTTTCCAAAATTTTTTTGAAAATTTTTTTCCTAAAATCAAACCAGTCACACCCATAATTACTATATTTACCAATCATAATGGGTTTTGTGGTTTTAGAAAGAAAAAAAAAAAACCTCCAAGGGATTCACGAGATTGTGTGTATGTTTGGTTTGTATTTGAGAGATGAGTTTTAGAAAAAAAAAATTTAAAAAATTGTTTGGTTTGAGTTTTTCTTAAAAAATTTCTAAAATCACTTTCTCTTTCTTACATATCAATCAATCACTTTTTCTCTCTTCTCTCTCATTCTCAATCACTTTTTCTCTTACACACATCTACTCAAATTCTTCCAAAATATCAAATCATCCCAAACTCTAAAAAAAAATAACTCTCTCAAAATATACAACCAAACAAACCAAAAAAATTTCTAAACTCCCTCTCTAAATTTTTTTTCAAAAATAATTCTCCCAAAAACAAATCAAACAAGCCCTGTATCAGCCGTTGGGAGCCCGGTGGCATTGTGCATTTTTAGTACACGTCGCTCTAGAAAGTTAAGAGAGAGAGAGAGAGAGAGAGAGAGAGAGACCTCATCATAGTAAAAGAAGGTGTTTGAGAGAAATAAAGAGGGAAGTGGTTTTGCGAGCTTTCTCACCGGAGGAACAGGGAATTGAGTGCTTTTTTGAATTTTAAGAAGGTACCTTTGGGCATTTTTCTCTGTGATTATCATTTCTCCTTTTCTCAATGACTTTCACTTTGTTGGATTCTGTCTGTGATTTCTGTTTGTTTGACTAAGGGAATACAGAAAGACGATTGTTCTTTATTTTAACTTTTTTGATGGTCTTGTGAGTATCTAATTGGATGAAGTGAGAAGTTAATAATCAAGTTTAATATATTTTTTTTTTTTTGAATTTGAAAATTGGGCAATTGTCTGAGACTTTTGGGCTTTTTTCACTGTGATTGATTCTTTTCTTTCCTGTTTTGCTTTTATTTTTTCTTCTTGTGCTGATATTCGGCTGTAAATTCGTTGAAGATGTTTCAATCTTTTTTCAATGTAATTTTTTTTAAATATGTATTTCTTTCAGTGACACCTTTTTGTCTTGTAATGCAGTTCTTCACGAGGCACTGTCAGAAAAAAAAAAATTATTCCCCAGAAAAAAAAAAAAAATTAAGGGTTAACGTCTTGTGTATATATTTTCCACCACTCCTTGTTCTGCTCTCATCACTTCTCTGCTTGCAACATGTAAAGATTTTAAGTACCTGTCTGAGAATTTCTTCTCAAAAAAGACCACTTGGGTATTCTGTTCACCAAGCCTGTAATAATCCCAAACTCTTTCCCTCTTGTAGGATTGACTCGGTTTCTCTTTTGCAGTCCAAAGATTTGGAGAGAGAGAGAGAGAGAAAGAGAGATGGGGAGAGCAATTAGGTGGTTGAGGGGCTTGTTGGGGATGAGGAAAGAGAATGAAAATGTGGAGAATTCAAATTCCGGCGACCGGAAAGAGAAGAAAAGGTGGAGTTTTGGCAAGTCCAGTAGAGATTCAGGGGTTGTGGGTAACATTCCGGTGAGTATTCCGGTGACTGACACTGCTTGGATGAGATCTTACATTGCTGAGACAGAGAATGAGCAGAACAAGCACGCAATTGCTGTTGCTGCTGCCACCGCTGCGGCCGCCGATGCCGCAGTGGCGGCGGCGGCTCAGGCAGCGGTGGCTGTGGTAAGGCTTACTGGTCAAGGCAGAGGAGCTCTGTTTTGTGGTGAGAGAGAGAAGTGGGCTGCAGAAAAAATACAGAATGCTTTCAGAGGCTTTTTGGTAAGTGTGTATTCATTTTCCATTTGGTTCATTGATCTTTACAACTTCAATCTCATCTCATAAATTAATTTTTTGAGAAGGGTATTGGAATTTTGTCTATCTTGTGTTCTGTTATATTATGATTTTAGTTATGTTTTATACATGTACTGTTTGCCATGTAGTCTGGAAGTACTCTTATACCAAGTTTCTTGTTTTTCAATGTCAAATGTTGCTTAAAGTTAGTGAAGTACTTTGAAATATGTTCTAACTAAACAGTACCTTATATTTTACTTTCTTCTCTCTTTAGTCTAATGATTGTCTTACCCTTTTCTTTCTTTCAGTTCTTGCTCTCCTGTTCTCAGTATAAGTTTTTGAAATTTGATGTTTGTATTTTGAATTCTGAATGGTTTTGAGTGTGATTGGTGGCTCTGATTTTTTTGTTTCATTGTTTGGCTCTTTCACTTGTTTGAATTCCAAACAAGTCTCAACTTTTTGTGTTTGCCCTTATCCAATTCACTTGAATATGTACCAACTAGTTCATTGTTGTGTTTCAGTAGTTTTGGATTCTTTCTTGTAAATTTGATTTGATTTGGGTTCTCATTCAGGCACGAAAAGCGCTTCGAGCACTAAAAGGACTGGTGAAATTACAAGCTCTTGTTAGGGGCTACCTTGTTCGAAAACGAGCTACTGCAGCTCTTCACAGTATGCAAGCTCTTTTTCGAGCTCAGTCTACTGTTCAATTCCAGAGAGCTCGTCGTTTGATCAACAAAGAAACCAGATTTCAACCTCGAGCCAGAAGGTCCATGGTGAGAATGATTAAACACATTCTTTTCTTTATTCAAATGATGAAGTGCTCTTCAATCTCAACTTGTGTTTTTGGTATTTTTAGGACAGATTTGATGAAACAGTGACTCAATTCCATAAGAGGCTATCGGGACCTATTGAAAGATCGCTAAATGCATTTGAGGATAGCCCAAAAATAGTTGAGATTGACACATACAAGCCTAGATCAAGATCACGGCGAGTCAACACCATAATGTCGGATTCTAGAAAAGACCCGTATTACCAAACTGTCTCGTCTCCACTTCCATGTCCAATTCAGACCCGGAAGCTTCCAGAATACTTCACAAATGATGAATTTAGGCTATCCACTCCTCAAAGCACACCTCATTTTTCGAATTCATGCAGGTCAATTGCTCCAGTGACACCATCCAAAAGTGTATGTGGAGACAGCTTTTTCGACTTTCCTAACTACATGGCGAACACTCAATCATTCAGGGCGAAACTGAGGTCTCACAGTGCTCCAAAGCAAAGGCCAGAGCTGGTATCCAAGAAGAGGCTGACACTAGGTGAAATAATGGCGTCGAGGACTAGCTCGTGCGGTGTTTCGATGCAGAGGTCTTGTTCTCAAGCTCAGGAAGCTCTGGATTCTTGACAAGTTTGTTATTGATTTTTTTTTGGTGGTGTTTTTAATAGAGAAATTAAGAGATGGATTTTCAATAGGAGATGGCTAATTGAAGAGAATGGAGAAGATGAACTAACAAGCATACCTTCTCTAAAACAAATACGTAATAGAACAGAGTGCTGGTGTACATTCTTTGACTGTTCTGGTTAAGTAGTCATGCTTTGTGAATGGAAATGAGTTTTTTCATCTTTGCTATATACATGAAAGTGGAGCACCTGCTTGAAAAAAAGAAAAGAAAAAAGACATTGGAGTTAGCAGAACAGGGCAATTAGATCAATGGGAATTGAAGAATGTTGACGACAGTCAAGTGGGAAACTGGTTCCGAAAAGAAAATCATTGGGATGCTGTTTTTCAAAAACATTTTTGAAACTTCCATGGAGGTTCTTAGTAGTTAGTAACCACTGAGCCAAGTGAGCGGGGTATCTATATATTTAAAACAGGGTGCTTTTGTCAAGCTGTGCTTATTAATTTATTTTGGGTGACTCTATTTGCACTTCAAAAATGAGGTTGGATATCCCAAGAGGGCTGCTAGATGTCCATACTTTTTATCTTTGTACTCCCTATTTTTTTAGCCCCCCACCTTCCAAAATTACATTTAAGGGTTCTTTGAGATGACTTAAATAAGTATATTTTTTGTCTTTTTATGAAAAGATGTGCAGAAAAGTAGAGAGGTGATGTGATAGAAAAAGATAAAAAAATAAAAAGATGGATTATATTGGAGTTGCCAAACTTGGCCTTAACCTATTTTTCTTTACAACCCCACCATATTCCCAACTTTACCCCTCTTTAGATGGTGTTTGGGAAGCGAGTTTTTATGTAAATTTTAGTAGATGTAAGTTTTTATGAGATAAAAAATTTTTAGTGTTTGGGAAGATAGTTGGGTTTTTATGTGGTTGGATGTGATGTTTGTGAGAGAAAAAGTGAAATGATTATGGGGTTGGATGTGATATTTTGTTTGAATATGTTTTTTTTTGGTTTTGCAAAACTTTTGTCTTTTAGTGGAAAAAATGAGAAAAAAATTTGGAAACTTGCTTCCCAAACACCACCTTAGTTTTTTCTTCTCTCCATCTCTGACCATCTTCATTCTTTATCTTGTTGCTTTTTTTTCACCTGCAAAACCCTAACCCTATCCTCCATAGTTATCGTAAACCCCTTCTCCAGGTGCGAAACCCCTTCTCTATCTTCACCTCTTCTTCTTCTTCTTCTTCTTCTTCTTCTTCTTCTTCACTCCATTGTGAGCCCTAACCCTAATCCTAACCCTAACCCTCTGCAGGTGCGAAAACCCTCCCATCACATTGCCATCACTGCCATCTACTCCGACACGAAACCCCTCCCTGATTCAAATCTTGCTTGATCGCAGTGGCAAAGGGACCCAGTTCATTCCTAGGGTTCTCTCTCTCTCTCTCTCTCTCTCTCTCAGCAGTGGAAGAGGTGAGTCTAGTTCATGATAGGTCTGGGTCTCGAAGCTCAACAGGATGCGATGGGAGGATGGCTAGAGATAACGAAAGGAGAAGGAACGGTAGTGAGAAGGAGGATCAACGGTAAAAAGGAGCCGAATGGGGGAGGCAGTTGGTAGAATTTGATTGGCAGTGAGGGGCTGGGTGGCTACGGTTGGCAGTGAGGGGTTGGCTGGCGGCAAGTGGAGATGGTAGTTAGAGTTAGGAGGGGTTCGGGTTCGGGTTAGGGTTTGGGAAATTATGGATGATGGTAAAAGTGGAATTTTATTTTGGGATAAAATTGGATTTTAAAATATATATATATATATATAAAGAATGTAGGGATTCTACGAAAAAATGTATCGGTAAATAGCAGTCCTCTATTCCAAGTTAATGATATTTTTTTTATTACTACTATATTCCTATTTAAAATGACCAAAAAGTACTTGATACCGAAAAAAATGCAAATCAAAGTGTTTTGAACACTTCATTCATAATCAATCTCAATCTTCTCTTTTTATTTTTTTATTACTACTATATCCCTATTTTCTTATTTTCCAAGCAAAATTATATATTCGGCAATGTGTATCTGTTGGCTTTTTGGCTTTTCGAATGGTGTTTTTGTGAATGTGAGCGTGCCAGCATTGATCTAGTGTTACTCAGATCATGTGAGGACCAATAGTTATTGCCACATGTACGATCAGGATTAAAGGCTTGAATAACCTTCCTTTATTACCCTTACTATGCCACGTGTCGAACTGCAACTGGCTTTTACAAAATATGTAGCCAACAGTATCCAAATGAAAAAACTAAAACCAATTTTCTATTGTTTGAAATTGAGTATCCAAACATATTTCATTTTTTAGGCATTGAGTATTTGAAACAATTTAATATTTTTGAAATTAAGTATCCAAATATATTTAATTTATTTGGCACTAAATATCTAGGTGGACAAGCTTACACAAAGTATCCAAATGGAAAAGTTAGAACCAACTATCCGGATGTAATTCATTTGTTCGGCAGTGAGTTTGTTCCTCTATTGTGACTATTAGACTAATATGTTTCTAATATATTTGTAGGATTTTTAGGGGTATAATAGGTATTATTTGGGGTGTCAAAAGAAATAAATAAAATTTTAAACTTTAGATTGGAGTGTTCAAAGTAATGGACTCTTCAATTTAATTTTTTTAGTGCAAATAAAAGCATTCATTTTTTTTTTTTTTTTTGTAAGTAGTTTACAAATATATCTTTTGAAATTTATTAACAATACAAATTATCTCTCCACATTTAAAATATTACCTCATCCAATTGTCAATTACATAATAAATTGTTACTTTTATTAATCAACTATTAAGTCAAATTAACAAAATGTATAATGTAAGCATTAATTTTTTTTTAAAAAAAATACTTAAATTAACCTTTATAAAATTGAACAATTTTTTTTTTCTTTTTCTTATGTCGCCATCTTTATTCTCCATTTTTCTCTTAATTTGTAGCACCACTCTGCCTAATCATCGCATCACCCCCTCCTACTCTCAATCAACATCAATGTCATTATTACCTATAAACATTTGATTTATTGCCATGGAGGGCTGGAGAATGCGGTGTAAATACAGACAGAAATTTGGTGGTGAATGGATAAAAATGAGTAGAAAAAAGAAAAAAAAAGAAAAGAAAAGAAGAAGACTAAATTGATTGAATCGGACTGAACTGATTATATTTGATATATTTTTTAACAAAAATTCGATTATGCAAATTTTTAATTTGATTTTTTTTTTTGATATATTTTTTAACAAAAATTCGATTATGCAAATTTTTAATTTGATTTTTTTTTTCCAATTTTTGATTTAATATTAGTTCAAGCACCTTATATATTAAACTAAACAAAAAATAATTGCTTTAACATATATTTTAACAAAAATTCGATTATGCAAATTTTTAATTTGATTTTTTTTTTCCAATTTTTGATTTAATATTAGCTCAAGCACCTTATGTATTAAAATAAACAAAAAATAATTGCTTTAACATATATTGTATTTATAATATATATAATCTAATAATATAATAATATTAATAAGTATAATAACTTAATAATCTTAATTAATTAAACTTATCGTCTCCATAACTTAAGTTTGTAAACTCTTATTACATATAATCTTAATTATAACTCATTATTTTTGAAATTTTAGTATTTTTTAACTTTTTTATTTGTATTTTTGTTAATTTAGGAATTGAAAAGTATTTATTAAATGAATGGATTGTATAACGTTTGAAGTGGTGGATAAATAATTAATTCAACAGTTTTATATAGATTAGTGGCTATACTAAAAAGTTATTCAAGTTTGAAAGGTCCTAAACTGATTAAACCGTATCAAACCGAACCGTTTTAATTAGTTCTGTGCAGTATGATTTGATAGGAGAAACGATTTGTATCGGTACTCAAAATAATAAAATCAACATTATCAGTTCGGTGAAATTTTTTACCTAAATTCTGACCGTATTGAACCGATTACATCCCTAGAAATAAGAGTAATATGATAATTTTATTTTGGTATTAAAAATATTTGAATATATATATATATTTCTTTTTTAAGTTAGTTGCAAAAAATATTGTGACAATAAATTTTTTTGGGTTCTTTTTTTTTTGGTTTTTTGGTTTTTTGTGTTTTTTGTGTTTTTTTTTTTTTTTTTTTACAAAAAAGTCAGAATTGCCCATGGCTATTGCTTAGAGCATCTCCAATGGTTGTTGCTATATTGGGGTTGTCATTGCTATAATTTGGCAATGAATAGTGTTATTTTGCCAAATTATAGCAATGGTGCTCCAATGGTTGTTTGCTATTTTTGGCAAATCTCAACCAACTTTCCCTCCAACTTTGTAGGTGTTGTTTGGATATAGGTTTTTTGTGATTTTATTTTTGTTTATTTTTTTGTCTTTTATGACATTTTTTTACGTGTTTGTTAAAAAAATTATATATTTATATTATTCTCAACTAGACAAATATAAAAAATTAAAAAAAATGAAAAATTAGAAAAAAAAAATTTGTTTGATTAATTCACCCTACCAAAAAACATATCACTACATATTTAATAAATTTTTTTAACTACACATAAAAATTAATTTTAAAACCAATTACCCACCAACCACCAACAACCATCCATTATTAACCCAGCATTTATTCACTCACATCCACCCACCCAACAGCCATCCAATATTCATCCACCTACCCAACAACCACCCATTATTCATCCACCCATCCAACAACCATCGATCATTCATCTACCCACCCAACAACCACCCATTATTCATCTACATACCCAACAACCATCCATCATTCACCCATCCACAATTTTCTCTATAAATATAACATAAGATTTTCTCCAATTTTCATATTCACCTACCTATCATTTTCATATCTTCAAAACTCTCTGTACCCACCAAGAAGATTTTTTACAATTTTCATATTCACCTACTCACCCATCCACCTACAATGAACAATTTGAGTAAAGCCATATTAAATGGTGATTTTGATGAATCTTCATCATCTGATGATGATATCATCATGATGCAACTATTCACAGCGCAACAATAAATATTACAGATGTTAAGCCTAAACCAACAAACCAGACGTGTTGGTTCCACAAGTGGTCGTCGATACATTAATCGTGAGAGGGTCAAAGGCGACGAACAAATTTATAGAAATTATTTTGTAGATAATCCTGTCTATCCAGAAGAATACTTCCGAAGACGTTTTCGAATGAGGCGGTCATTGTTTGTTAGTATCTTACACGATATTCAACAAGTGAATGAGTACTTCACCCAAACCGTGATGCCACTAGTGCTCCTGGATTATCCGGTATACAGAAGATGACTGCAGCACTTCGGATCCTCCAATACGGCGTGCCTGCTGATGCTGTAGATGAGTACATTAGAATCGACGAAAGTACTACTATTGCCGCCTTAAATTTTTTTACCAGATCAATTGTTGCTACCTATGAAGCCATTTACTTAAGATCTCCAAATAAAGTAGATGTCGCCACATTATTGCAAGAGGGAGAGCAACGCGGGTTTCCTGGAATGTTAGGGAGTTTGGATTGTATGCACTGGCGTTGGGATAAATGTCCAAGTGCCCAAGCCGATGCTTACACTGGACACTATCACAAACCAACAGTTGTACTCGAGGCAGTTGCCTCCTATGACTTGTGGATTTGGCATGCTTTCTTTGGCATGCCTGGCTCTTTAAATGATATTACT